AGGAGCAAATGGCCTGTTGATTAGCTGCCACAGATACCACTACATTATTTCCCCAACCCAAATAGTATCACTGCAGTTTCCAGCTGCATTTAATGATCTAAGATACCTGAGCAGAAGGTCAGGGTCACAGAGTTGTTATTATGTTGTCACCTTAATGATTCTACAGTCTGCCTGTAGCATCCAGAACAAATTTAAATGCTGGATATCTCTTCCTTAATGAAACAATGTTAAATCTGTTATTTAAAACCCACCAGTCAAATATGGTATAAATTGCTTTCCTGCTCGGGGATGAAATAAGTTGGCAATTCTGTAGGAGTCATTATTTCCTATCCTTTGAAAACTTGCATGCTAATAATTAGGTGGGGGAAGACACAGATGTATGAAATATTAAGTAATATTACATTTAAATAGAAATTCAAGAGAACAAATAACATGACATAAGGTCAATGATGGGGAGTTGTACAGGTGAGATGGCCAGGTGAGAACTGGGTGCCAGATCTGGGTCAGTCTGTGCACAGATTGGGCCAGATCATTGACAACAGAGGACCAGCCTCTGAGGTTGTCTCATGCCTTAGATACCCCTCTTAAAATCCTTGGTTCCCGTTTCCACGCAGAGCTGGGGAGAAGCTCTGGCAGTCCTGCTCAGATGTCTTTAAATAATTGGTCACTTCAGGGGCACATAGAAGAAGGTCACTTCCTTTGKCGTTTCAAGGCACACTTGGCTCTTTGAGAAAGAAGCTGTGCTTCCTTGCTAAGAAAGGGCTAGGGTTGCCTGCCTCTGTTTGTGTGGGTTAAGCAAGGTGATGGAAAGCAGCACCTGGCAGATGGCATAGACCCTCTGTATGGTTARCTGAGTGCTCTCTGGACAAGACATTCACCTGTGAAAAGAGCAACACTGAGTTTATGTTACCGTCCAAGGAAACCACTCAGAAGCAGGTTTCTAATACTCATGCTTGCTCCAAGATCACTTGAGCCTCCAAAATGTTCTGGTGCTGTAGCTTTAGGATGTTGATCATGAGCGTGATGGTGGCTTAGACTGGGCCACTGGTAAGTGTTGGGAACCCTGGAGCAGAGGACTGAAGGAGGCTGCCTTCCCTCCCCACGTTCACCAGCATATACAGGCAAGCAGTGAGCTGCAAGGACCTGGAATCAGAATGCCCGTACTTGATGCCTTTATGTTCCTCTTTTCTCTGGTTTATCTATTCTCATATTTTACAAGTTACTTCCTTAGCCTTGTTTTCTTTGTATAAATAGATGGACAGCAATACCTATTTTATAAAGATCAAAATGAGAGGATGCATGTAGCAGTGGATACCATAGTGACTGGGATGTCAGAAGTGCTCAGTAAATGTTAGTCATGACAGAAAAAATTCACTGGGTTTCTGGTGACTGCCCTATGCTAGGCTCTGTATCGAGGGCAATGGGATGCAATGATAATAATTTTAAGAACAGTAATAGCAGCTAACAGTTGTCCAGGGCTTACTGTGTGCCAGACCTACTACATACTGCTTAGGTCCTTTGATAACTGTATGAGGTAAGTGAAATTTAGTCCCAGGAGTCYGAGACTCAGGATGTCTAATAAACTTGCTCTCTGACTTCACCATCTGATAGGGGAAACAGGCTTACAGACAGACAATAACAGCCTAGAATTATATTCACAAATATTTCTCAATAAATCTTGGCTCCCATCCCCTCTTTTTTCCCTTTCTTTTTGTCCCCATTACTAGGAAGTGTTTTCCTAATGCTGGCCCATCAAAGACATTGCAAGCTATACCTTTGCAAACCAAGGGTAGGCAGTAGCATTGATGTGATTTTGTATGAAATTTCTCTGTTCTGTCCCGACACTCTTTTCTTTCACCTCATTTACACTAAGCCCAGATCTGCCAGGCCTTTGAGCCCATACCCCAAGCTGGCTGAGTGGTGGAGCCAGGGAGTCGTGCTGTGCCCTCCTGTCCACACGCTGCCCATCACCATGTGGGTTTATTAGCACGAGTGTGTAACTGGGGTACTTGGAGGCCAGTGTGTGGCCTCCAAGTGATAGAAGTCTCCCCGTTCTTGGCAGACATACTTTTTCTGTATTCTCACACCATCATTAAGGACTTAGCTGGCATCAAGAAGACCGTGGCATCTGACTTCTGCCTCTCTTCTTGGTTTTCCTTGTAATTATTACATACCAGGAAGAGATGACCGAGAAAATGGCTCATTGTTGACCATAAGTGACTTCCCRGAGTTAAATTAATGTTGGAGGTGGAAGCCCCACCCCAAGGCTCCCAAGAGCAGAGCCGCCCACCTCTGCCTCCAAGACTAGCAGTGTTTATCCCTGGCCTTGGGTGAAGTGTGAAAGGAATGTTTAGGAGGTAAAAGTGGGTGTCAGCCTCTGACTCAAAGGCAGTGGTRTAATATGGTATGTGGGCTCTTGTGAAGGTAACCTCTTTCCATGGAAAATGCACTGTAGGGRTCTGCAGCCTGCAGGAAACACTTACTCAGTAACAGGTCTGTGAAGTTTTGGGTCCATGCCTGATAGTTCCTGTGACCTGGGGTGAAAGCAGGGCCCAGTGGCCTTTCATTCTCCGGATGATTTGGATCTCCTTGTATACATGGGAGGACACATATATTCACACACACACACACACACACTTCAGTGTGGAAGGGGCACAGATTTGTCAAAATGCAGAAATGTTTTAGTCTAAAGATGTGGCCAAGTAGTTGGGTAACAGGTATGTARCGAGTAAGGAGAGATGGTTYAAAGTCTTGCCACTGACGACATTCYCTTCCAAAATCTGAAGCCAATTGGAAGTTGATGTTCACTTATGGAATAAAGCTTTGTGTTCTGCAGTTCTTCACCTTGCCTGGGAGACTTAGATGTCAGTTACTTTAACATGAAATAGAAGGGGCTCCTAGACTGCAGGCAGAAGTAAATCCACTTGGGAAGTAKCTCCTGAACCCAGATAGAATGCTCTAAGCAGGGCCTGAAGATAGGTACTATAGTATCATCTGCYGGTTTTGGTCTTTGGTCATCTTTATGAAGAAATGAATATCTGCATAATGAGGGCCAAAGTGGCCCTTATCAAATTTTCTTCTGGAGTTTAACGTTTAGCTGCTAGTAGCTGGCATTCAGAGGAATCCTGACTGTGAGTAATGCTTATGAAGTGAGAGATGTGGAGGCTGGCAGGGGCCAAAACCACTCCAACAAATACATGTAAAAGGAAAATACAAGGCCAGGTGACCTGCTGGGAAAAACTGGGGTAGTTCTGGGAGCTTTGGTTATAGATRGCCACCAGTTATGGAGGGTGACACAGGTAACTGTCACTGATTAGAAGYAGCTGGATCTCCAGAGGACTCTGCTCTTTGACACAATACTGATGGGTGTTTGTGTTGCTGCTAATTCTTACTTACACTTCATCTCCAGTTCCCAGTTTTCCTGTCTGAACAAAAGAGAGGCAGCTGTGGTTGGAGAACTAGACTTCAAGACTGTTTGCTRTTTATGCCTGTGCCTATAAAAATTGTCTTTGGCTGGGCATAGTGGTGTACACCTATAATCCCAGTGACTCAGGAGGCTGAGACAGGAGGATCATGAGTTCAAAGCCAGCATCAGTAACTTACTGAGGCCCTAAGCAACTTAGGAAGATCCTATCTCTAAATAAAAAATAAAAAGGGCTAGGGATATGGCTCAGTGGTTAAGCACCCCTGGGTTCTATCCCCAGTAACAAACAAACAAACAAACAAACAAAAAAGTTGTCTTTGAAGGCCCTGGGCTTAGATTGAAAGAAAATGCAGGTTAACAGAATAATGGGGAAGGAATTGTTAGGGAGTGGAGACAGGAGATAGACATCTGTTGTTTCAGATGTAAGTGCTAATACCAGGAATTTGAGCCTTTAAGAGACACCTCATGAGTTCTTTCTAACATGACTAAACCGGACTTGACCTCCAGACCTCCTCAAAACAAAAATCAAATCAGTCCCTCTACCGGACTTTCCCATTTTATCAAATGGTAGCCCTATTCATTTGCACAGAACCCAAAATTGAGGAATAATTTTTATTTCCCTCACTTTCTTTCTCCCCACCTTGATATATATATATATATATATATATATATATATAAAACGAACCCCAAGTCTCTCAATTGTTTCTCTTCTTGCTTTGACTCTGTGAGTTCTCATCATACTTACCTAGGCCACTCCTGGGCCTCTTCTTTGGACTCCATGGGTCTCTTGCCACTGTGCAATACATTCTGCGTACACCACTCCTGGCAAGGGCAGGTCCCCCACTGGCCTCTGTACCCTCTGAGGGGAAGTCTGGGGCCTTGTCTCACGAAGGCCCCTGCCCCTGTCTCTAGTCCTGTCTTGCAGTGTTGCTCACTGGCTATGCTTTACACCACCAGGCTTTCTTCCACTTGCTCTTGCCAGTGCTGATTCCTGCCATAGACCCTGGGTACTAGCTGATCCTCTTACCTGGCATCTCTTTCTCCCACTTCTTTWCCTCTCCCACCCAAACCATGATACCTTCTGATTTGCCATTCAGACTTGAGCTCAAACTTCTGTATTTCACACTATTTATTTACTTACTTATTTACAGTGCTGGGCATTGTACCCAGGATCTTGTCAACACCAGGCAAGCACTGTACCACTGAGCTGTGCCCTGTYCCTAACTTCTCTATTCTTTGATGAACCATTTTACTTTCTGATTCTCAGCTTTGTTCTGCAGTTTGATGGCTCACCTGTGCCTGTGTTATTCTCCTAGAAGATAAGCTTCTGAGAGCAGGAACCCCATCTGTCTTGTTCACTGGATCCCCAGCAGCCAGCACAGTGCTGATTCAGAGGGAACACAGCAAATAATATCTGCGGGATAAGTGGTGGAGCTTGTTCCTCAGTTGAGCACTGGGAAGTGCATTGGTGACCTTTGACAGTGGAAGCCATGACAATAYGTATACTGGTGGGGCTTCCTTCCTACTCCCACCACTTCCCCTGGGGTCTGACTGCTGGTCTTCTGTTCCCTCGCAGCCGCCCATGCCAACTTCCGTTCCCGTCGACCGTGCAACAGCACAGCCCCATGTCCTCTCAGACCTCCTCCGTCAGTGGGCCACTGCACTCTGTCTCCTTGCCACTTCCACTTCCGATGACCTTGGCRGCTCCACAGCCCCCGCCTTCCGCCTCCCCCAGCCAGCAACTTGGTCCAGATGCGTTTGCGATTGTGGAGCGCGCCCAGCAAATGGTGGAGATACTAACYGAAGAGAACCGAGTGCTTCACCAGGAGCTTCAGGGTTACTATGACAATGCCGACAAGCTCCACAAGGTATGTGACATCCCAAGGCAAGGGGACAGAGAAGCTTCTCTGGAGGGAACAGGATCCTCTACCTGTTCCTGGGTGTCGATTGGCTGACTCACTTGCCAGTGTTTCACGAGGCCCCTTTTTATGCCAGGCATTGTGCAAAGCTTTAGGGAGACAAAAATAAATRTGACCCAGTGCCTTTCTTGGAGGAGCTTACAGTAATATAGGGGTGAGAGAAYTGGGAAACCTAATGCCTGCAGGAGAGGTGCAGCTCAGGTGGTCGAGGCCTCAGAGGCTAAGTAGGATTTCCTCAGATGGACAGTAACATTTGATTTCTTGGTGACCCACATGTACTGCAGGAAGTATGGAAGAGAAAAGAGAGGCAAAGGTAATGGGGTGTTTTAGGGCAGGAGAGCCATAGCGTGCTCAAATTTCTTTTTTGGACCCAAGAAGTATGTGTGGCAGCAGGGATCTAATGAGTGTAAATGCCTGTCCCTGTCCCTGTCCTTGGAATAAGGCACTTCTGTAAGGAGCTAGGGTAGAAAAGTAAATTCCACCTGACTCYAAGATTGTCCCTTTGACTCCATATGACAATTAATAAAAATCATGGCTAGATCAATTAGTGTTCATTATTGATTTCAGAGCTAAGGCTGATCTTTTGGTAGTCAGGGTTTTGGTTTGTAGGCCTTTCTCATTTTCCAATGGCTGGCAGTAAAAAGCCGGGAGCAGAGGATTGAATAGTGCAAGTGATCGCCTACAATCTGCCCCAGCATGTTGGTGTGGAATTTCCTCTGAAAGGGTCTGGAGCTCCCAGAATCAAGACCAGACTTGGCTCAGGGAGCTCTGGCTGCCTTTATCAGAGGGAAGATGAGAGCCACAAACAAACAGTGCTGCATGAAGATCRTGGCCCCACTCCCACCTCCACTTGAACCCTTAGAAGTTGGGAAACCAGTGTGTYGTCTCCTGGCTGTTTGCCTGTAAGCTGCTGCTCAGGCCCCAGCTTGCCTCTGACTCCTCCCAGGGCAGCTTCTTGGTATGGCCTGAAAACTGGGAAGGGCCCACTCAGCACTTTTGGGAAACACATTTTTCTTTATTCTTCCCTAAKGAAGCTTTGTGGTAGATGTGTCCAAGAGCACCGCAGACCCCCTGAAGACAGGTTGGTGCTGGGTCTCTTCACATGGATATTGTGGAAGAGTYCCATGGACAGTGCAGTATAGAAAGATCAGTGACTTTTTAAAAAAATTAATATATAGAGGGTTTTTTGTTAGCCAATAACATATATACATCTGTTTCTGATTTTGTTGCAAATTGTCAATTTAAAACCTCAGATCTCCTGAGATCCTTGGCGTACTCCTCACTAGTTCTACAGTTGTTCTCAAAGATGGGACTGAGACCCAGRAGGGCTCTGTGAGCTTGGTGTTGTGACATTTTCTGCCATGTGTCCCATAGGCCATCCTTGTTYGGAGTTTTCCTCACCATTGTCCTCAATGCTCAGTGTTCTCAGCATCTGCTTAAGTTTTAGGTCTGGGCAGAGGATGGTGGGCCGAGGCAACAACTCCGCTTCTCAGTGATGATAGCTGCTAGTTTCTTGGCATGGATGTGATGCCTACTTTTTAGGTGGGCCTGCCAGGATGTAGGATGTTGCCATGCTATGCCCACAGTATCATTCCATCTGAGACCCTCATAGCATTGGGAACACTTTGGCCCTCACAGAGATTCATTTTAAGAGCAAAACCAAAAATAGATGAATTTTTAATTGCAGAGCTTAGCATATGCATTTTGTGCCAAGGAACATGGCCGAGAAGAATGATTAAATTCAGAGGCTGCCAGAGCCCGGCCTCGTCACSAAGGCTCTGTTTCCAAAGAGGCACAAGGTAGTAGTTATCACTGTTAATGTTGGAAAGATGGTCAGGGGCTCCCAGAAAGAGCTGTTGTTTTTGTTTTCCCTTTTGGTGACTCTTTTTGCTTCTCTTTCCTCCCTGTTTCTCTGAAGCTTAATTAATGGACAGAGTTTCCAGGAGGACCAGGCTGTGCGCTGTTGAGTGATTGGCTTCAGAAACTATCAGGGGATAGATGGACATCAGGAGGGGAAGGAATGAGCATCTTTGGTCATCCCAGGGTTGCACTAGTGAAGACACTCTTCTTTTGTGAGGGAAACCATGGAGGCTTTGACAGTGCAAGTCTGTGGCTTGAACAACAGCCTTTCTTTGGGCCTAGGCATCCCTGACGGTTCTCAGGGGAAAAGCATACACCTGGAGCTTAGAATGGCTGAGATTTTCTCAGGGTCCTCTGTTGGTTTGTGTGATGACAACAGTACCTTTGGAAGCTGTCAGGGCTTCTCACTCTGCTTTGTAGCTCTGTTTCTGGGACACTGAGTGCTTYTCTCTTGCCCAGCCTCAGGGCTCTCAGGCTGCGGCGAGGATAGCAGCTGTGAAGGCCAACTTGACCTTCCCTCTGCGCACCAGACCCAGAACCTAAACAACCCAGCTGTCCAGTCTTCTCCTCATCTTCATAAATGTCAGGGGGGTTTAAGATGTTCTGGACATGGAGGGTTCTGAAGAAGATTTTTACTCTGAAGGAGTGTACAATCACAAAGAAAAGAGCTTTAGATATAAGATTCTTAAAATGAATCCAGTCTGACTTTCTACCCCTTAGGAATCCTGGCTTCATGTCCCTAAAAGGAGGCCTTTTCTTTTTTACGAGTATAATTGCAAAAAAGGGAGAACTCACTACTGGGTGAACTATAYTTCTGGGAAACGTAATTAGGAAACTCTTCCTTGTGTTGGATCAAAGTCTGCATCTCTTCAACTTCCCCATATTTAATTGTAACTCTGATCTCTACAACCACACTGCAAGGGACTACTTGTCCACCACTACAGCTATCATTTCTCATAGGAAATAATTGYCCTGAACTAAGGTCCTTGCCCTTTTGGTCTGAGTACCTAGAGCACATAGCTATGTGTTGATTCTTGATTGTTAGCCTTTGAGGTGGTAAACTATGCTGTAGAAGGCTCCTGAAGTTTCGTCTTACAGTGTGCAGAAGGAAGTTTCTTAGTAAAAGTAAAAAATCCATGGTCAGATGTAGTTTATACACCAAGTTGATTGAAGATTAATTAATCCCAGTTGCGGCCATGGGCAGAGGACAGTTCTGGGATGGTAAGAGCTATTTCTGCCCTCGAAGAGTTAACAGTCAAATTGGAAACACAATGAGTTATGTACAGCAGGTAACAGTCCAGTGAACTCAGACCGCAGCAGAATCCTAGGGTGGCACAGGTCAGGAGACCGTCCCGACTGTCTTTGGCTTGCAGGTTGAGCAGCTCTTTGATGGTAGCACCTCAGGGCTTTGGCACTTTCACACCTCTTAGTGACTAGGTATTGCYCTGTGGTCTTTAAGGGCACTGTTCCTGCAGCATGGGCATGCCCATCTCTCCAAAAATAAAAGCCCCCATTATAGAGAAAATTAGCCTAGAAATAGCAAAGTGTTTTGGAGCTGTCTCTTTTGCAAACAAAATTAAAAGGAAGGAGCGTCACTTGCAGTAGCACTGTGAACAGGATTTAGGACGTGGTATTCTCCGTGCCACCACATTGCTGATAATTCATGATATCACTGGAAGAAACAGGAAGACCTTGTGGAAGTTAAGGGACAGTGGAATGGCCAACTCTGGCATAGGGAGGGCTCAGGGACAATAAAATGGTACCAAAAGGAGCCTTGGTGTCTTGGCTCCACCTCTTTTGGCTGCCTCTAAGCCAAAGCTCCACGCTGTCCAGCCTCTTCAATGACCTTTTCCCAGACGGTCCCTGCTTGGTTGTGTGTAACCTGTGGGGACACTGACCATGATTTTGCTCCTTCTGAAGTCTTTGGCTTCTGGCACCTATGGAGCCAATGACTTCAGTCTCTCTCCTTTTGCTTCAGCCATCCCTCAGTGTGAACGCTCCCCATGGGTTCTCTCGGCTTCTGTTGACTCCATAAGTGGCCTTCATTCCGTCACCGTCTGTCATCTGTTGGCTGATGCCACCACAGCTGTCCTCCTGACTTTCAGACATGTATCTCCACCTCCTAACTGGAAAACTTTGGTGTTCTACAGTCCTCACCTTTTCAAAGCCAAACTGTTTTTTTTTYCCCCCTTTGGTAAACCTGTTTTTTCTTATCATCATTTATCTTAGTTGTCATATTTCCCCATCTTCTAAGCTGTGAATTTCTATGTTGTCTTTGATTTCTGCCTTATGAGGTAGACCCAGACACCAAGACCTGTGGACTCTGCTGTTTAGTATCYTTAGAATTTTTCCTTTTAGTTATCCTGGCTCATGCCCTTGTCACCTGTCACTCATCTATTTACCTTAGCCTCTCACCTGGACTTCTTTTCTCCCGCTTCCTACTCCCACCTCCACACTCCAGCTCCATCCTATAGTTATCTCTATAAAACTCTGGTAAGACCACGCCACGCTTCTTACAACCTGCCCCTCCCCAGTTCCTTCCATCTGATAATTCTTCTTTGCTGTAACTTCAGGTTCTTCCTTTGACCCTAGTTCCTGSCTCTCTCACCCCGCTCTTGTCCTGGGACTGTCATGTCAAAGCCATGTGCTTCCTTTCATGGCAATCTTTCTTGGTCTGTGTCCAATTTCTTGCCTAGAATGTCAAAGCCCTCTGGATTTTCTTTTTTGCCTGGCAAACTCCTGTTTGTCCTTCAAGACTCATTTTAGATGGCATTTTCTCTAAATGACATTTTCTGTCTTACCCTTGCAAAATTAATGACTTTATCTTTCGGCTGTCATGGCACTTCACTGTCATAGCCCTTATCACCTTGCATTGTAGAAGTGCCTGTGTCTGGGTACACTCCACATAGTCTGTGAGCRCCTAAAGGCTGGGGATTATCTTACTTCTGTATCCCTGTACCCAGGAGAGTATCTGCATGCTGTAAGCAAATTATGAATATCTGTTAGGACTTGTATTATTTACAGAAGTCTTATCATGGATTTTCTTATCTAGGTAGTTAGTATTCCAAAAAAAAAAAAGCATGCTTAGCTCTCAGTAACATTTCTTTCCTATAAAGGGACTCACAACGTGCCTTTGGTCCCCTAGTGTCCAGGGAGGAGTGCTATTGCTCTCATACCATCAGCTTAGCCTCAGTGGCAGTCAATCTGACCTCTAGGCAAAAAATTAGACACGAACCATGAAAATAAGCACATAGCTTTGACGTGACAGTCCTGGGACAAGAGCATGTGGAAGAAACAGGAACTAGGGTCAAAGGAAGAACCTGAAGTTACAGCAAAGGAGAATTATCAATAGAATGCACTTTGACACATCATACATAAATGGATTATAGTTTTTCATTCTCTGGTTGTACATGATGTAGAATCACACCGGTCATGTAGTCATATATGTACACAGGGTAATAATGTCCGATTCATTCTACTATCTTTCCTACCCCAAACTCCCTTGTCTCCCTTCACTCCCTTCTCCCTAATCCAAAGTAACTCTATTCTTCCTTATCCACCCGTAATGTGAATTAGCATCCACATTATCAGAGAAAACATTCCTGTGTTTATGTTACACAGTAGCAAAATGGAATTTATTGAGATCCACTTCAAAATCACTGTTACATTAGACTCCTGTAATAGTCATTAGCTACTTGTTACAGATTTCCAGATGCCATAGAATAAAGACTTCTCCAGTTATCCTCAATTTCATGAAATAAGAAAATTTTTAATCCTATATTTCTCAGTTCCTGCATATAAAAAAGGTTTTCTGCGGTACACTTGTTTGTACTTAAACACAAGTCCATTGGTCATTTATGTAGATGTTTACATAAGTAAGGGATGAATATGCTCATTAATGAAGCCTCTCCTAGAGTACAGGCAAGTAGGAGGGTCTCTGGAAAGAGCACTGTGCTTAAAGTCTGAAAGTTTGGGTCTTGGTTATAGTGCTTTAGTTCTTCTGTGCTTTAATATTTTCCTTATATGAAGTGGAAATAATGATCATAGCTATAAAAATGGCATATCAAGTGTAAGAGGCTTATGTTATGGTTTAATTCATCTCTTCCTAATATTGATATAGTGGAACTTTTACAAGGTGACATCACATGGTCTGATATTGCCCTTGGAATAGTGATGTTGCCTTTGGAAGGCAGGTGGGGAGCAAAATGGATTCTAAAGTTTGGTAGACATGAAACTTGAGATGCAGAAAGGCTGCCCTGAACGAAGACACTCAAGTGTGATAGRACCATTATTACTAAGACACCAGCATGAATGTCACTTTAATGCCAGTTCTTTCTTACAGTTTGAAAAAGAACTCCAGAGAATTTCAGAAGCCTACGAGAGTCTGGTGAAGTCCACTACCAAGCGAGAGTCGTTGGACAAGGCCATGAGAAATAAACTGGAAGGCGAGATCAGAAGACTTCACGATTTCAACAGAGACCTCCGAGGCATGTCACCCTCTCCTTATGATCTCTCCACCCTAAATTACCTGTGCAGTCAACAGCCTCATTCGGGGCCAGATTGCTGTTCTTTCATTAGATGATCTTGTAAATTCCAACCTTCTGGGAAGGGAAAAGTGCTCAAAGAGTAGAATCATTCTTTTTCTTCCTCGTGGGTTGTAGGTTGCAGCATGGAATTTTGGAAGTGAACCTGCCTGCCTGAGGCTGTGGAAGGAGGGAGTCTGTGTGCAGCTCCACTTTGCTTTTACTCAATAGTGACTCATGACTGTGTGAATAGGAATGTTGAAAAAGACCAATGTGGGAAGCACAGCCCTTTCCACATCAGGCTGCGTCTTTGGGAAGTGTTCTTTGCAAGCCAGCGCCTCACTTACTAGGTGTAATAGAAAGACAGAGCTAGACATATGTTCCTCCTGCAGGGCGGGGGAGGGCCACAATTGTGAAGAGTGTAAACATATGTCCTCCCTGAAGGAAATTATCCACCTGCTGCAGGGTCTTGGCAACCTCCAACAAGCACGGTGATTTAACCCATAAAATTTTGCCTCATGTTCAGTCAGCCAAGCCATTTTTCAGTTCTGTCAACTCAACTGAATTTTTCAGTTGACAACTCAATGCGCTGGTTGTCACCAGTAGCTAGAGCCTACTTTTTGAGATACTACAAACCTTTTGTGTGGGATATCAAATATATCCAATCAATACTTACCAGGCTGGATTATTTAATTGGATAAATTAAGATATACCAAATGGTTTGGGCAAACGAAACTTGCTGTATACAATCTTCATTCATTGGGCTGTTTTAATTTCTCTTGGTATTTGTTGCTTTTATTTATTTTTAGTTCTAAGATTCAGATAAGTAGTTGCTGGATAAAATATAGGGCTGATGGTCAAGGCTGGACTAGGTCTGGATTTGAAATTATGAAGACTAAGCTGCTTGGGAGGACTTCATCTCAGAGGCCGTGAAGTGGTTTTTTCCCCCAGCCTGCCCCTAGCTCACACTGCTGGTGCATTGTCTTTGCAGTTTGACTGAGTGAAGATACAGGATGGCATCTGAAGACTTTTCTTTTGTTATTTTGTTCTTCCCCAAGAATTGCTCAGTTTGGGGCCCTTGCCTGAGCATCTCTTCATATCCAGCTTCTGGTACCCATTTCATTTCTCCATTGGATGATCACTTAAATCCATATGCATTTTTTTAACCATGTCCTTGTTGTTTGTAGATCGACTGGAGACAGCCAACAGGCAGCTGTCTAGCAGGGAGTATGAAGGACATGAAGACAAAGCTACTGAGGGGCATTATGCTTCCCAGAGTAAGTCAGTCTTTATGTTTATTTATCCCACAGTTGGTATTTTAAAAAACTGGAGGCCTGAGGAAAAAATTATAATAGTTTTAAGTATGTTTTAAAACCGTGTGCTTTTTCTTAGCCTGCAACACATTGGGCCCAGATGAAGCCCTCCTACGTCTTCTCAAGACAAAGCTAAGATTGACTTATATTAGTTCAGAGATGTTTATTCTGTTCTTCTGACCTCAGTTCCTCTCTGTCTGTATAATCCCCTCCAAGGAATAGCAACACTACAGTCTTTCCTGGCATTCACTACTTCAAATAGATCACAACCCTTTTTCTCTAGGAAAGGGAGGAGGTTTGGTTCTCTGGGCAGGTTGAGGAGTACTAGATTGGCTGCCACTTGCCAGCATGTTAATCCCTCTGAATGATCACACTGTGTGTCTCCATACCTGGGGTTTATTTCCAGAAGCCACTGAACCCATTTCAGCCAGAAAAATGAACAAGGGCTTTGTAAGCCTCTAGATTTATTGGGAGAATATTTTATTAATATTGCCAGAGGAAAATGATAGAATCAGAGGGACTTTGACAGATGATTGGTCAGGGATTGAATTTTGGCAAATTCATTGCACAAGCCAAAGATTTAAAAATTCAGTTGCATTTTTTAATGCTGTTTCAGAAACTGAATTCATAGCTGTATCATAACTCTCAACAGCATTATGAATATGTGCTCACAAACTACAGGAAAAACAGCAACAACAACAACAAAAAGTGATGTACTCAGTGCCATCCAGCTATCCTGTGATACTGTTCTGATGTGTGGGATGTCAATGTGGCTCTGCATTTTAAAGGCTGGGAAGTAATTGGTTAAATATTCTTGAGTTTTAATTCCATTTGGTTGGGTTTAACTTCCTTTGTTTCCCACAGATTTACTCATGATTACATTCCAGTTTTTAGCCCATTCTTTATTTTTTAAATTCTACTTTTGACAAGTAGACATTAACAGTATAGAGGGATTTGGCCTCATATTCCTTTGTAGTCTTATAGTAGGTGATGGGTCTGTCCTCCAAGTTCACATGAAAATCTGTATGGACACTTTGAATTACTTGCTTTTCTCACAGAATTCATCTTTTCTTATGGGTGTGATAGATTTACCATCTCATCAGAGCTTTCACTTGAAAGGTGACATCTGTGGGATTTGCATGCAGGATTTTGTCACCTTTTGGAGAACTGTGTGCCAAAGGGTAGAGTAAGGTGTGTCAGCAGTGCTGGCTTTAGGCACTCTGCTGACCCTGCCTTCTTGGTGGGGTTCAGGCTGATTCCTTGGTTCAGGTCAAACATAAAAAGCTGTCCATTTCACCTGATGGGCATCTGTTTGACCTTCTGGCTCAGGCTGGTGTGATGGAACAGTAAGTAGGGTTTGGAGCTGGGTGAGCTCAGACACATTCTTGAAGACTTTACTCTTTCGGCTCAAATCTGGAACATCAAGGATCATGCAACTCGACCCTTCCAGCAGTACAGGCAATGGTTTGTTCTGGGTAAACTGGCTTCACTGTGTTTCAGAGGCATAACAAGAGAGACCAGCTGCTTAGAGGTATCCCCTTGTTATGTGTGACATAATTGAATCCACGCAGTGCAGTTGAAGCAGGCTTTGGTGACTGTGATGTCTAACCACTTTTCCCACACCCAGCCTTCACAGGAAACTTTGTGCCTTCCTTGTAGCATTATAATTATTCATAGATGGACTTAGGATGTTATTTCAAATTTAAATACGTTTTTTTCTTAATGAGTTCTGAGAACCTCTCATATTACAAAAATTACCATTCCACTCCAGGTATGTTGCAGATATTTTCCCCATTGTTTTTAATCTGTGATTATAGTATTCTTTGTCTTAAAGATTTTTTTTTCAGTAACCATATTTATGCCTTCTAGGATTGATGTGATGCTTAAAGTTACTTCTTATTCTCGAAGATTCTAATGGTATTCGCCAGTGTTTTCTACACTTGAGTGTGATTTCACTGATTACATGGTGCATATTTTGGAAGGTAGCTTGACAGGCAGTATAGGCAAGTGCACCAGGGCTAACCTAGAAACTAGGAAACTTGTTAACAGCTATTTTAATTTCTGGGTGAGAGATGTAGAAGGCCTGAACTAAGACAGTAGAAGCAGCAGTGAAGAGTAGGGGACAGATAAGTGAGGGACACATTCATAGGACTCAGTGACAATTGGATAATGACAGAGAGAAGTGAGTATGACTGGAGCAGCTGGATGATGGTCACCCTTTACCAGTACAACTCAGGGGAAGCAGGTTAGGGTTAAATAATGAGTGAAGGTTTGAGCTGTTAAGTCATCTCACCCTGCAGCCCTTAGTTCAGTGAGCAGGTATAATGTCAGATACGGAGATACCCACAGGACTAGATGGCAGCCATCTCTGTCAGGCTTTCCCTTGAGCATGTGAATACAGAATGACTGGCATGAATCACCACCTCTCTTCATAGTTATTAATGTGTTCCTTTATCTGAATATTATTCTATTGCTAGAATAAAAAACAGAATAAAATAGATTAGAAGAATATTAATGTTATTAGGACAAAGTTAATTAAGCCCTTAGTAATCATAATTATGAATATTCCCCACTCAGAGAGGGCTATTCTTTTTCAATGAGCCTTTTGGAATTCTAGCCCTTGGTTCAGAGAAAAGTAAGACAACATCGCAATGGTAATGACATGTCTGGATAGTACATACCAAGGAGCTAGGGCTAGATTGTGATGCCCCTGACAACCACCCTGGCATTGGAAAAGTCAGAGAGTAGGGGAAAGTACAGAATAATGTACTCTGATTTTTTTTTTGCCAGGTATTTGTGTAGATACTAGGTGTTTGAAGCCTAAGAGCACCTAAGTGACTCTTGCAACACGAGCAAAAGYTCTCTAAGTTAGTGGAGGGAGGAGGTCTTTCCTGGACAGATTTTTAAATTTACCTTGGTAGCTTTTAAAACCTGAACTCTGCTCTTAAGTTGGAGCCTAGGAAAGCTGTGGTGGACTGCATGGGTGTTAAGGTTGAACGGACCTTGAATGGGTCTGTTGTGTTCCTCTCTGTCAAGAGAGTTGTCTGTGTTGAAAATCTTGTGGAGTTAAATGCTTAGGAGTTTTGATAACCTGGAGGCAACTTTTTCCCTTCATAGTTTAACATTATCTTTGGAGGAATTCGAAGTTTTATTTATTTGTTTATTTTCTGGTTTTACTTTTTTGTTTTTCCAAATGTTTTTGCAGCTTATAGGCTAGTGATGTTAAAGCCAATTGCTCCTGAAAAACAGGGCCTCTGGCCAATTCCTGTTTGGTTTGGCTGTGTGAAACTGGGGCTTCTTTGTCTGTTAACTTAAATGAGGCTCCCATTTTTTCCAATTCATCCATCTCTCTCTCTCTCTCTCTCTCTCTCTCTCTCTCTCTCTCTGTCTCTCT